GGGAGGAAGGGAGGAAGAAAGGAAGGAAGGGAGGAAGAGAACACTACATGGAAGAAGTTAGGACAGGACGGCGAGGCCATGGGTCTCAGCAGTCACTTCCCTCTCTGGGCCTCAGTTTCTCTGCATGGGAAATGGTTGGTGATGAGGAGAACAGGTGTCTGGAGCCGTCTAAGGCGTCAAGAGCAGAGGACACACCTTCAGACAGTAGCTGGAGCCTTCGCAGAGCCAAGGGGAAGGGCCTTCCCATCAGTTAATGAGACTAATCTGACCAGCTCCTGGCTGTTCTGTACGTCAACGTGTTTCTGTACCTCCCTGAGTCCCTGAAATCTAAGACGGGAGGAGGTTTGCCAAAAGGAACAGGCATAATTTCCCAGCTTCCACCCAATTCACTCTCTTATGGCCTATTTCCTCAGGAATACAAGCTCATGAAAATGAAATTCAGACTGGCAAAATGACAAATGTTTTGCATAGATGAAACTGTCTTCTCCACCAAATGCTTAGAAAACGACATTTTCTCAACATCGGGAAGGGCCCGGGAGGTCTTTTTTCACTGCAGTGGAATACGTAGTTTGTTAATTAACTTCAGTATATCTGCTCACTTACATCAGTGACCACAGCAGCTTGCAATACAAACATATTCTCCTACTGCATCAGAAGTTGTTCTCTCAGGGGGAAAAGGAAAAGGAAACCAACAGACTCCAAAAGACCTAAAATCTGCAGGAGGAGCTGACAAGCTTTTTCTGTCAAGGGCCGGGCCGTCATATGTGGGCTTCGTGGGCCCCCTGGTGCATCGATTCAGCTCCGTGTGACAGTGTGACAGCTGCCACAGGTGATGTCTGCACAGGTGAGGACGGCTGGGTTCCCAGAACTTTATTTACAAAAGCAGCTGGTGGGCCCCTATCAAATTCTGCTACTATTATTTCAAATGACTTTTAGGTCATTTGTACAACAGCTTTAGCACAGGCTTTTTTTAAAAAAAGTTTTAAAAAACAGACTAGCGAGACCCCGCCCCGCTGACTCGCAGGGAAAAGAGAAGCCGGAGAGGGAGGCTGGGGAGCCGGGGACTCCGGGTGCAAGGCTGTCCGGGTCTTTGTGCCGCGTGCTTACCGTCTGCCATGGCCTTGACATTATCCAGCGCGGGGACCACCCTGGGTCTCAGCTTTTCGTAAATGCTGCCTCCCAGCAATAATTTAACATCTAAATTCAAAGAAACAGAAGGGGCGGTGAGGGTGGGTTGCACTGATTGCCTCCCCTCCTACCGCTCAGTCTCTTCACGCTGCAAGGTGTCCCTGCCTGGAAGATTCTCTGTAGTCTCTCCCGCCCTGAAATCCCCCTTTCACTCCAGACTCCGTTCAGGCGTGGACCCTCGCCGTGGGGATTTCGTCACCTTCTTCAAAGCCCCCACACCAGCGGTGCCCCTCGGGAAAACTTAATCACCGCAGAGGGGTCCCTAATCTCTCCAGCTGGACCAGGGTTTCTGAACCCTGGCACGTCGACACTGGCGGCCGGATCTTTCTTTGTGGTAGGGGCTGTCCTGGGCACTGAGGGCTTTTCCCTGCATCCCTGGCCTCTACTGATGGATGCCAGCAGCGCTGCTCTCTCCTCCTCAATGCAAAAGCATTCTTACAATAAGTGCTAGGTTTTTCTCACTGAGGAACAAACTACACATTGTCAATAGCGCTGAGGAACCACTGACCTGCTTTCCCCTGCTTTCACGCAGAAAATGTAGAAACAATTATTTCAGGTCTTCCTCCATGTTTTATGGGAAGTGGCCATAACAAACAAACAATTTGAGGCAACTTTAGATTTTACTTACTGTCCAGATCTGAGAATGCCTTTGCCTTAGTGATAGTGTACTGGTCCAGTACATAGTCGATTTGCTAAACACAAAAACAAAAACAAAAAATTAAATGAAACCGCCTCTTCTCCTTAGAAGCCACAGTAGGAAGACGTTTAACACTACTTTATACAAAACAGATGAACAAGGTCCCACTGTATAGCACAGGGGGCTGTATTCAATGGCTCATAATAACCTAATAATGAAGAGGAATATGAGAAAGAATATATATACGACTGAATCACCGCTGTACACCAGAAATTAACACATTACAGATCAACTATATTTCAATTTTTTAAAAAACAAAAAGAGATTTAAAGGGAAAAATTATCCTGAATCAGAACATTTTTAAAGGAAAGGGGGTTCTCAGAGATACTTCTCTTATCTGACTCCCAGACTTCTTAAAAATACTCAGAGCTTATTGTCTTAAGAAATATGATTTATTATTTCTCGTGGTCCTGTGGATGGACTATGTGGGTTGCCTGGTTGGGGCCAGTGTGGCTGGGGATAAAACGACCCCTCTCTCTATGTGGCTTCTCCCCCTAAGGCCTGCCGGGTGTTTTCACAGAGCAACCCCTGCAGCAAGAGGACAAGAGTGGACCCTGCTAGGCTTCTGGCAGCCTAAGGTCAAAACTAGCACAAGGTCATGTCCGCTGCATTCTTTTGGTCAAAGAATCAGGTCAGAGGCACAGCCCAGATTCAAGGGGTTGCAAACAGATCCACGTCTTGAAGGGAGGAGAGACTGCAAAGAATTCGAGGCCATTAGAAACCTACCACCTTAGCATCATTTTGTTTAGCAGTTATCGCTGATCTGGCCTCTGCTGGGGACACTTGCTCTTCCGTCTACTGGGTCTTAGCAGATCTGCTTCCCCACAGCCTCTGCAACTTCGGGTATCACCACTTTTAAATAAAATAACTACTGCCAACCTTCTCGGTGCATCATGATTTACTTTTTCATTTCTCCAATTACTAGAGTAAAGCTGAATCTCTTATTGTGTTTGGGACCAGCTATATTTCCTCTGTGAATCGACTACTGACATTCTTTGCTCAGTTTCTTATAGATTTGTCAGTGCTCTATCATATACTTTGAACCAGATAAATTTCCCCCAAAGTCATAACAATTTACTCTCCTTCCGAGATTAGGAAAGCAATTCCAAAGTTCACCAGCCGTGACTGCTGCGTGTATGACTTTGCCAACTTTTTAGGGGGAAAGTTTTACTCTGGAGTCGTTAGAATGATAGGTGGAAAATATGAACTTTTATTCACAGGCTGGGAAAATGAAGTGTCCCTCTCTGCACAGGCTATGAAACTATTAATAAAACTAGCTTCTCTAATCTCAGTATTAAAGAAAGCTTGCACGCTTTGCTATTTTAGTTCCAACCACATATTAAAAAACTAGCGCCATATTTAACATGTTGGCATTTTTGTAGAATGTGTTCAATTTGGAAGAACACATCCCTGTGTGAGGAGGCCCAGGGATTCCAGCAGGCTCTTACTAGTGACTGATAAGACAGCATCTTTCTCTCCGCATGTAGGTTCCCACACGCTCAGCAGCATGTTTGGGCTGCTTTCTGCTGAGATATTTTTAAAAACAAGGTTCTGAATAGGCAGGGCATCAACATATTTCTGGGATACAGAAAAAGGATGCCCTCAAGCCACCCTGTCCCCTTCCCCAAAGACAGCTTGTGTCTGTGTGTCTCCTTCCCAAGGAAGTTTACACATGTATACAGGTATTAGCAAGTAAGTGTTCACAAAACAGAAAAAAAGACCTAAAAACAAAGTAATACTTCAATAAATAAATAAATACACAAATAAATAACAATAAAATCTTAAAAATCATGAGACCCTTAAAATGGTTAAGTACTTTTATAATACGTACTATATGTTATACCTTAATAAAATAAAGAAATAAAATATAATAAAAACACAAATTCGGAAATTATGCTTTTATACTCTTTTGAAAATCACTTCCTGGGCCTTTATTTCTTCATCTGCAAAATTAAAAGACAGCATCCATCTGCATTGATTCATCAGGTTTCCAGAAGGTCTGAATGAGATTCCAAATATATTCAGGAACTCCAAAAGGCCCCAGACACAGAGCATCACAGGATAATCAGACCATGGTCCTTACCCCTGGAGTGGTGTTCAGCAGCGTTCTCAAGTCGTTGAAATTGCTTTCTGCCAATTTCTGAGTCTTTCTGAGGTGAGTCCTCATGTGGTGGCTTGCCACAAAACCATAGGTGATGCCAACGCTGCGGGGAGAGCAGAGAAGGGACAGCGTTTACTGAGGGCACGGCGGCCCTGTGGCCAGGTTCAGAGCAGCCCCAGGGCCCGGGGTTGGGGGGGGGGTCTTCCTGCGCAGAGGCCCCTCCTCCCCAAGCCCAGCCCCGCCACTGCCACAACCTTCCTGCCACAGAACCATAATCCATGAACCAGCAAATGTGAGCCACGGAACAGGACTCCATCCTCTCAGAGAACACCCACATCCGTTCAAGAGACATTGTTCTGTTAAATACAAGCCTTATAAACCGAACAATGTTCACGATCAGTTACAGGGGAAACAAAAGTCACAAAGGTTACAGAGCAGCGTGTGGAATACAGTCCCATTTCTGTACAGATAGGAAGGCAGGTGCACACCCTCCACACAGCGCACACACAAACCCCACATGCATAGCTCTGCTTCCCTCACAGAAGACTCTCAGCAAAAACACCCAAATGTTTTGTAAATAAGTTCCTTTGTCTTTTTTTTTTAGATTCACAGACATAGAAAACAAACTTATGGTTGGGAGGCAGGAAGGGGATGGGAAGGGACAGACTGGGAGTTCAAGATTTGCAGACATTAACTAATATATATAAAACAGATCAACAAGTTCATACTCTATAGCACAGAGAACTATATTCAATATCTTATAGTAACTTATGGTGAAAAAGAATATGAAAACAAATACCTGTATGTTCATGTATGACTGAAGCATTATGCTGCAGGCCAGAAATTGACACAGCATTGTACACTGACTATACTTCTATAAAAATATATATACACAAAAAATCCATTTCCATTACTGAAAAAAAACCCAAATGATAACGTTTTCAGTTAATATAATTGTCTGTTATTACTGTATTGTCCAGATTGAAAAGAAACATGAACTAATCTTGCATTAAAATGCTACATAAGAAGCCACACACAGCAAAGTACATACTGTGTCATCCTAGCTCACGTGAAATACAGAATCAAACACAACGTTGATGCTAAAGGCCAGCGGTTAGACATGGGGAGGGGTGGATCGCTGTGCTCGCTTCGCGGAAATTCGTACCTATGTGTTTATGATATGAACACTTCTTTCCATACGAAATATACTTCGGAAAAGAGTTTCAAAAACACTACATGAAAGGCATCCTGCATGCAAAGTTCTACATGAAAATAAAAACCATTTTTTTGAACCATCTGAAATGTCTACATTTAATCTTAAGGGCTCTTAATGTTGGCTAATTACCAACAATTCACTGACTTCAATTAATTTGATCGACTGGTTTGTTTTTATGTCAAAGCCTTTAAACATTAAAAAGTTACATTTAAAATTGCTAATTGCCAAGCCCCCCCTCATTGGATTTAGCCTCTAGATGGCAGCAGGGAATCACATAAACTCAACACATCGGCTGTAGATGTTACCTGAGAAGTTAATAACAAAATTTAGTTTGCAACAAATTGTTAGTTTATAACCACTCAATGATTGGTGTGAATATGTTTTTAGAAAAATGTTTTGCAAATAACAAACTTTGGGGAAAATAATTCTGATGCAGAATATGAATACTTTTGCATCTTCACCAAAAGCAACGTCTTAGGCAGTATGCATTCATATATTTACAAGTAGGGTGGCCAAGTGTCCATTTTTGCACCAAAGGTCCCATGTTCCCAGGAAACCTCTCAGCCTTGGGTAAATGAGGAATCATTCACCCCAGTTTCGGTAATGAGTTATTCCAAGGAGTTCGTTGCTGTTCTCATAAAAACATACTTTCCCTCAGCAGTATTACACAAGTGCTTTGGGTTTTCCAAACTAATCCTAAAAAGTCTATTACACAATGATGAACAATATTTCTTCTGGTTAACATGTTGCAGTGGGACGTGTACTAGGGTAGAAACAGGAGACTTGGGTTCTAGTGCCACTAACTCACACTGTGTGAGCCTGAGAAAGTCACTTTCCCTCTGAGTTTCCCTGGCATCACAAAGCTAGAAACTCGATCAGATCAGTGCTTCTCAAACTGCAAAGAAGAGGGGTATGGATGTTTACAAGGTATCTACGATTATTTTAAAAGTTTGGGTGTCAAGGACCACCTTTAAAAGTTGCCATTTAGAATGACCACCTTGGAATACATTTTTGTTAGTCTTAAAGGTCTGCATCAGTATTTATGAGGTTGACATTACACCAGAGCAATAAGAGTTATTAAATGATACATTCATGCAAAATGAGGCCAAACGACCCAAAACAATGAGTTTGGTGTAGTGTCAACAGTAGGAAGGAAAGGCTGAGTCACAGCAACGTGCCTGGAGCTTTATTTACCACGCCAAATCTCAAACATTCCGCACCATGCCAAGTCAGGATCACCACCTGACCAGAGGATTTCACACTGGGACCCTTGTTCTCCTCCCCATCACATCCAAATTATTCGTCATTCATCATGCTCCAGACTCATTTTGTCACATAAGAAGTCAAAGTGAACTTGGGAAGCAAACAGCAGGCCCAAGTCCACCTGGATGGGAGGACGCCTAGCCATGAACCCCTAGAGGGCGCGCCTGAAGTTCTGATGGGATATTTCTCACTTCGTCTCCTATTTTGTCTTTATTTTCACCTACGTTTAACTGCTCTGAAAGAAAGGTTGACTGCTTCTTTGTTGGCTTTGGGTACTGAGGGTCTCTTGTTCACGGTGGGTGATCAGTGAATGTGGGTTTAAGGACTGGGCTTTGTTTCATTTGGTCCATTTAGAAGATTAGCCACATGTTCGGAGTGTCCAAGTCAGAAACTGTCTTTGTTCCTTTATTGAATTAATGCCTTTACTCAAAAGATCATCAATCAGTAAAATGAACAGCATCACAGCGCTGCAATATGACACTGAATTTCAATGCAACATAGTTAAAGAGACCCACATTTCTGCTACCCAGTTATGAATCCAATTAAAATGAAAGCATAGATCATTAAAAAAAAACTGTACTAAACAGAATTCTGGGATAGAATTCAGCAACTTTCAAAGCTGATTTTCAAACCCATAGCTCATTGTAAATTTTACATTTAAATCAAAGATGGGAACATCAAAAGCCCGCAGAGGCAGGCAGAAAGCATGGAGGGCACAGTGTAGGGTACCGACCTTTGGGAGCTGGGGGAGCAAAGATGGGTGCGGCAGATGTTCTGCAACTCCGGCAAGTGGCACCTCGATGGAAGACCAGTATTGCCAGATCTTCCCATTATTTACAAAAATCTGGGAGTCTGGATTTGTATGTAAAATCTCCCATTTTCATTTTTAAATTTTTTTCCTGTTTTTAAATATTAGCAACAAATCAAAGAAAAAAATTTTATATACTACACAAATTGATGGTCTCCATTTATAATCTCAAATTTAACACTGCTATTTACACACAAATAGAAAGTGAAAAAGTTATGCTTTTTGTTGCTGTTGATTTAGACATTCCCTATTATTTGATGCTCTTTAAAGCAAAAAAAAAAATCATGTGAATTAATGTTTTTGGGTTTTTTTAAACAACTACCAATCAACTCTTAGGATATGAGGATGAAAGAAATTCACCTCACACAAAAAGTGAATAAAATTTCAGTCAAATGATAATCAAATGACTTTCAGCTCTCTCACATTTGACAGAAAAGCCTTCAAGTTTAATGCAGGACAACAAAATTTCCTGGAAAATTTTAGCAGAAGACAGGAATTTTTTATGATATATTAGCACTACATCTTCTATATTTTATATGGACGGACCAATTTGTTCTCAAATACACTTAGAAGTAAATATTTAAAGTTTTTAAAGAGTATAGCTAAACCTTTAAAATTTGTAGCAATTTGTTCTACCAATTTCTACTGACAATGAAATTAGCCAATAAGAGCCAAATAAATTTCAGTGTGTAACTGGTCTCTTACTTTTCAAAAATAATTTTTCAATTTGAGTATCGATTTTAAATAACTAGCCCTCTCTTTAAGAAAGCCTCATGAGTTTCAAGGCATACTGGCTCAATTTCTTTGCTAGAAGCTTGTGGCCACCAAGCCAGGAATTGATACCACATCCTAACAACAACAAAAATAAATGAACTTTGAAAACAGCTGTCTTCCTAAAATGACCGGGATTCAATTTTCACTACGGTAATTAGTAAAAGCTGACTTAATCGCACTTGGAAACTTAGAAACGCCTCTGTACTGGAGAAATAAAGGCATGCATGGCTTCTCCTTTTCATTGTTGCTTATAACCTTTATGAAATTCTGAAAAATGCAGTGATGACAGGTGCAAAGGAAAGTTGGCTTTTTCTGGAGTAAGACACATCTGTGTAAACCGTCCACAGCGAGATGTGGAAATGTAATCTTCTGCTGATGGTCAAACAGACTTACGCAAACACATGTCAATGTCTGTGGAATTAAACATTCCGCAGCTTGCCTTTGGAAAAGCCCACATATAGGGAAGCTTTCTCCTTAACATCTATGCCTTTCTTAATTAAAAATTTTTTTTTTAATTTTTAAAGAAAACAGAACCTATGAAATGTTAGAGTACTCAAGACTCATTTAAAAGCCAACCTCATCTTTAATTCTAACATTTAGTGTACAGCCACAAAGTGGAACTGAGCCTGATTAAAAGGCAAGTGGACTACTGTGGGCTTCTGAGCGGAGTTTTAAAAAATCATATACAAAGATTATTTGTCAACAGAATCCAGTCTCCGCTGAGGTCAACATAAGCCGGGGTTAACACCTCCTTTTCTTCCTCTTTCTGCCTTCTGGTTTTGTTGGCATTCCTTCCCCTCTTATTTTATCTAATCTTCTGATGTGGGGACGTAACTTTCTTCTCCTTTCTATCTAATCATAATAGAGAAATCCTTGCTTTCGCCTAGTCTTTAATCTCATTGGCTAGTTTTGATTACTTGCAAACAACACACAGACATTATTTCAACTCATGATTTGAAGATACTTGCAAACCAATAAGTGTTCAAGAAGGAAGACATCAAAATAGCTACTTAAATTTGAAAACTTCAAGGCAAAGAAGTTTAAACTTCTCGTCTGAATTTGAAGTAAACGAAACAGTCTCAAATACTCCTCTTATTTAGGCCTATTTATAATTCATATATAAATTCAGTGTTCTGTGTGAAATAAATAAGTTTTAAATGTGTCACTTAGCCTCAAATGGTTGATCAAATTTGGTTTAATTATACTGACATTTAAAATTGTGATATTAATTAATAAGTTTTACTTGGTTGGGGGAAAATATCTTAACTGAATGTGTTGGAGGTTACAGACTCACATCTGTGTACGTAAGAAAATTTAAGAATTTTCTAAACTAAAATACACTCAGGAGAAAAAACTTCTCTAAATTTGTTTGATGGGTCTGAGTTCTCAAAAATAAGAGATGCATATAGCATTCAAGTTTCTTTCTGACACTGAAGCTTTCATATATTTTGGTATTTAAAACCTAATAAAAATAATGCAGTCAGTTCCGGGTGAACTATAACGTGTATATTGCATAATTATATGTAATGTGAATAAAAATCCAGTTTAAAAATAGAAGCCCAATACAGGACATATGCTCCATTAAAATAAATAACCCTCAAAGCCTATTATTATATATGTGAACATTTATTTGGGTAAATAAGTAACTACATGCAATAAAGAATTTTCCTGAAATTACATCACATGCATTTATATCAAGTGAAAACTATTAACTTGTTAAGTAAGTAATCATGCTGACAAGAAGCCCTAAGGGCAAGTCTTTTCAAATGACACTTTGTCACCTGAGCCTCATCTTTGATGTCCATGGTGTACAAGGAGGGAGAGGCATGGCTGTCCAAGTCTTTGGATGCATGAAGGATGTAAGTTTCAGGCTTAAAGGAAACGTACAAGGGGCTTTGGGCTATACCTGACATTTCTCTGGCGGTTGGGGAGGAGGTAATTACTCCTCTGTGCATTCCTGAAAATATTTCAAATGCAAAGCAGAGAGAGGGGGGACATCTGGAATTACCATCAACCTGATCCTAAGCTGCTTTGCAGAATGCAAAGTGAAGAAACAGATTCAAATTATGTACGGAGAGACAGAGGCAGAGGCACACAGGGAAACAGGAGTTGGGGTGGCGGGTAGAGAGAGAATGAGACTCACATCCCAATCTTGCAGAGAAAACACACACAACAAAGCTCCCTGGTGGTCAAACAACGGTGCGTGAAACGAGCTAACACTCAGTTGTAATTTGTTAAAGAGCATATTGTTAAGGTCTGTTATTTGACTATTTTCAGCAGAAGTTATGCCCTTGTTCAAAAAATGACTTCCCTGGAATCAGCGGCAGTGCATTAGCTTCTGCTTTCTGAGGGGATTTTTTTCGGTTGTTCAGGGTTAATTTTTAGTGTTCCTAATTCAGCAGGTAATGCTGAGCATGGTAGATCATCTAAAAGAGACAACCACCTGTTTCCTTCCCAGAGGTCGGACCGCCGCGTTGCCAGGGTCCTGGCAATCTTTCCACATGTGCTCTGTGCAAATGTAAGAAAGTGCTTGTGTCCTGACTTTTTTGTTTTCAATCACTGACGCCGTGTTCTACACATGGTCTGCCACCTGCTTGTCTCACTGCATCTCACTTGGGGACTGTTTTATATCAGCAAATCTAGAGCTGGCCAGCGCTCTCTCCCCTGGGTATACTGCATGCCGCTGAATGGTCCCCCCGACAGCATACATGTTACCAGGCCCCTACTGGCGGCCACACTTAAAGACTCTTCCTCTTGAGTTTGCAGCTACAGCTTTAGAACTTTAAATTGTTCTGTTCAATTCTGTTTTCTGCTTAAACTCCCCAATATCAGTTATTTAGCAACTTGAAAAATCTTCCTCACGGCTACTGAGAAATGCGGTAGAGACACCTCAGGGAAGAGGCTGACTGCCTCTCCTCGCTGTCTCTGTGTCTCCTTAAGGCATTATTCATGTCACAGGCACTTATTTTTCCCCTGGATTTGACACATCAGTTGAATGAATGAGGAAATGTGAAGAGAGGACCAAATATCCCAACCAGAGGGCCAGTACCATGATGCACACTCCTCAACCGAGGAGTCTGATTTGGACCCAACTTAATGTCCTCGTCCTAAAAGCAGGGCACGTCCCATCTGTCACTCGACTGGAAAACTTTTGGCAGCAGTAGGAGCTGCAGAAGAAACACCATGACACGTACTCCAGGCTTCAAGAGAGGGTTTCAGCTTAATCGCAAATTCAAGAAAACTGGGTATATGATGAGAAAATTAATTCCATTCTACAATATTCTCAATTTGCCAAATTCAGGGACTCTACCCATCCTTCAAGATACCTACGATGTACAAATCAACTAGCAAATATTTGCTCTGCCCTCCTGCCTGCTGCCTGGCTCTAGGGAGCTACTCAGAGGAGGGGGGTGCCGTTCTGGTGAACGCTTTCTGAGGCCAGAGGTGTATCAGGATGCCTTCAAGATGAAAAACTGCCAAAGGGTTGGCTTATCACGTAAGCTAGAGCAGCTTGGTTACAACGCTAACTTCTGCTTAAAAGTGACATCTTTTTGAGCTGTCCTGGGCAAGCATCTTTGTCCTCTCTTTTCTGTTATGGGTTTTTTTTTTTAGTTTTTAGTTTTTTAGGTTTTTTTTTTTTTTTTTTTGGTGGTGGTTGTTTCAAACTCATGGGCTTAACAGTTAAAACACGAGACATTTCTCATTGACCTAAAACACCATCAGCTGTTGTCCAAGATTCTACTTGCCTTATAAATATACAAATCACCAAGAGGGAGACTGCAAAGTATTTCCTAAGGAAGGTGCCATTTTTCTTCTGTCGCTGGTGCATTTCTCCACCGCACTTGTTACAGCAACGACACACACTAAAGAAAAACCCCACCAGGGGCATCAAGATAATAAACAGCAATCCCAGGGCAGCACAGGTAATAATTCCGATCTCATAGTAGATAATCTGCAAGTCAAACAAAAGAAACAGCACATGCTGTAACACAAAATCACACGTAGAACATTCCACAGGGTACACATTTCATGCTTTTTAACCTATTTGCCATCGTGAGTTAAATTGTAAGGAGTGTGTTTGTGTGTGTGTGTGCATCCATTCTGAAGATCCTTCTTGAAACAGTGGAAGCAGAGATTTGAGTTATCAGAATATGGGACCAAGCCATTACTAAATTCTTTCAACTTCCAGGAAAATATCCAAATGCAAGGTCAAGTTGCAAATGAATTTCAGCCTCAAAGGTATTTTGTTTAAATGGCATGACAAATTTTGGCAGGAGTACTTGCGTAATGAATAACCTATACCTAGGGTGCTTCTCACCACGTAGAACTAGTAGTCGTCATTAAGGATTCAAAGCAGTTTGGACTGGATCGATTAATGATAAATTCATAGCTAGTTGCAAAAGAGTCCGGAATATATCTACATTTAGGAAAAAGGCTCAGACTTTCCGGATCAAACATGTGAATCACAGGTGACTCAGTTTCCCCATCCATACACTGGGAATAATAATATATACCTTGTAAGGTCACGGTGAACATTACAGATAATCTGTGATTAGCAATAACGTACCAAGTACCTGGCACGGAGCAGATGCTTAACAAGTGAGGCTGCGCTCGGCAGCCTGTCTCAGATCATCCCTAGGCTCCTAGGAACTGGCCCAGCTCTTAGACACAACTACGTGACCTAAACATATTTTCATAATCACTGCTGGCTTTATTCCAGGAGAAATAAAAATCAATGCAACTGGATACAACTTGTTCTTGTTCCAGTCCATGTCTGCAGTTGCTCACGTTTCCAGAAAGCAAGACATTTTTAAAGAATGATAGGAAATTACAGGTTGGCAGTTTGCAGCTCATGGGCCAGCTAGATAGCAGTATGTTCTGAAGCCAAGCTGAGCAAAGCGAAGCAAAGCCCACGGCTTGTTGCCAGAAGCACATGTGACGTCTTGGGAGAGAGCACTGAACTTAGAGTCAGAAGGCCTAATTAAATCCCAGCAGCGGGCTTCTCATTCTCTAAACTGCGAAGCGCTGCATTGCGAGCACTAATGTCACAGGCATATTGCAAAGGACAGCTAATTAAACAATGTAATGTGTCAGCAATTAGCCAGCACGCAGCAAATATTCTATCAATATTCGCTAACTCTGTGGGCAAATGCTTGTAAGTCTTAAGCCAGGTGCACATGGCCCTCGAGTATTATCTACGCCCATATTAAGGTTAAAATGCTTAAAAAAAAAAAAAGGAGCAAAAAAGTGATTAAATTTTTGCCGCCTTCATCACTTACACTCTCTTCCTCAAACTCAGCCCGACACTGCGGCCACGAAGAGTCACTGTTTGCTGGTGCGTAACCCGGCCTTGAGGACTCACATCATTGGCTAATAGAGAAACCAACGCCAGACACTCCAAACTCTTACTTAGTTTGCTTTCATTTCCCAGCAAATATTCTAAATCGTTACTTAAAAAAAAAAAGTTACTATTTTTAAAGGAATTTAAAATCCTTTCTGAAGCCCCAGACACTGAACCCAAACCCAGAAGAGAAAGGTGTATTAAAATGTTTTAAATGTGCTATCTTTAGCTCCAAATGCAAATTTTATGTTTTATGTACAACTTTCCCAATGTTTCTGACTAAATATGAGGTCAAACAGTGTCAGGAACAAGGTACGTCATTTCCAGAGCCCCCGTCTAGGCCGAAGTCTGGCCAAGGTCTGGCAAGGACCTCAGTTATTTCCTGACATACCAAGATCTCCGGAGGGCTTTGTGGACTGTGTTGAAGAGATCAAGATTTAAATTTGCCGAGATGAGTGGCTATACTTTCGTGAACCACTAAAGCTGTAAGAGAAGATGAAAGATGATGGAAGAAACAAAAGAGAAACAAGTAATTTTAAAACCATCACAGTGGAGATGACAGTGACCAGAGGGTTCAGGCCAAAGCATCACACCACTCGTGGGCTTTAGACAGAGCGACGTGAAACAGAGGCCAGGACTTTACCTTCAGAGTCAGGACTACGTTTTCTGGCTGTAGAAGTCAAAGCCGTTGTGCCCGCAGAGGCAGCGTGCAGTGAGAAAACAGAAAAGTTACTGGAGTGATCAACCACCACGAAGAACATTAATACCCGACACAGAGAAAATCAAGGGAGAGAGGACACCAGACAGGAGCGTGAAAGTAGTGTTCATCAGAGAAACGGTGCTGCGGGTGGAGTCAAGTTCCAGGGCTCACGTTTGAATTCACATTTGGATTTCTTGAAAGGTCCTTAATCATATGCTAATCAGTCATGGACCGGGGAATGGGAGGGAGAGCTACAAATGCTTAACACACTAACCACATGGTCTCTGTAAAAGAGAATCAGCGGCTGCCTAGAACCCCAGAGCCCAAGGCACCACCTTCCAAGTGCCCTTTCCAATATGAAGCTCTGATGGGGCATTCCCCTGCTGAATAGCATCCCAGGGGCTCCCACCACGTGGAATTCACACTCCTCCACGTGGGCCTCTGCTATTTAATCCCGGCGGCACGTCCTGTTCTTCTTGACCAGTCTAGTCCCCAGGAAGCATCATGCTCTCTCCCGTTCTTCACTCTGGGCTCCCTCCTGCCACCTCCTCACCCAGAACATTATTCCCACCACTGCTCCCCTGATGAAACTCAAGTCTAAGTTTGGACGTTGCTTCTTCCAGGAAGTCTGTCTTGATCACCATGTCTGAGTTAGCTGTAAATCCTTCCTTCATGGAGTCCTACACTTGTCCCTTCATGGCACTCACCCGACTTAGGGTGATGGCTCCCATGTGGGCGATTCCTGAGCCTGCTGCAGCCCCAGGGGAGGGAGAACTGTGACAGTCACACTCCCCGCTCTCTCCCAGGGACCCACCCGGGGCTTGGCAGATGAGAGCTGCCCAAATGCAATCAGATACACTAATGAACTGAGGGACAGTGCTCCAATTAATCTCCCATTACCACTCCCCCGGGAACCTTTTGAGCAGTATCAGTGACCAGCCGACCCTGACCAGCTACATGGGAGTCTCTGGGGGACAGGTCTCGGCATGGTTAAAATGCGACTCTGAGCCTGAGTTACAATGACAACAGAATGAGGGGTGATGCACGTTTTGTGCATTATTCTGTTCTCAGCACTTGACATGTACTATTTAACATATATTATGTGGAAGTGTCTGCCAGAGTAAAGCTCAATCAGTAATAATAATAGTAATAATTATGCACGTCAGCATCATCCTCAGCTCTAAACTCCCGGGAGCCTCAGACAATGACGCGGTCAGGGACTATCTCGTACTGCTTCCTGTCTCAATGCTTTCTGAGATCCCAAAAGATACCTCCCTTACTGGGGGAGGAGAGTGTGTTCTTACATGCTTACTTACACACTTAAAGCAACTTATCCTCTAGGAGGGCAGGAAACAAGGAACCAAGGCATGTGTCTTTCACAAACGTGTAGGGTGAGTTCCAAACATGGCAAACCCATCTGGAAAAAGCAGCAGGGCTGCGTCCCAAGCCCTGTGCCTGCCCCCGAAGAAGCTCCACCTGGAACCATGGCCTACCATTTACTAAGTGCCAAATCCCTACCCCATGACTTGCAGCACGAGTGAGGTTGGGCAAAGCAGCCTTTATCAGCACTTCTTATATGATGTGTATCTCTCTCTGTGCTGCCCCCTGGCTCTACAGTATCAGTCGGCTAGGGCTGCCGTAACAAGTACCACTCACTGGGCGGCTTAAACAACAAATTTATTTTCTCACAGTCCTGGAGGCCGGAAAGTCTAAGATCAAGGTGTTGACCGGGTTAGTTTCTTCTGATATGTCTCCCCTTGGCTTGCAGGTGGCCATCTTCTTCCTGTGTCTTCAGATGCTCTTTCCTTTGTGTGTGTGTCTTATTCGCCTCTTCTTATAAGGATCCCAGTCAGAGTGGATTAATGACCCCATTTTAACTTCATTACCCCTCTAAAGACCTCATCTCTAAATGCAGTCCCATTCTGAGGTACAGAGGATTAGGACATCAACATACGCGTTCTGGGCACAGTTCAGCCCATGACATCCACGCATCTACATGTCTTACCCCACCGCCCCCCTTCACCAGCCGCAGATTCTTGGGGTAAAGACCATCCTTCCACACATCTGCACCCCTACCATGCATGGCCTCTGGTGAGTACTCCCTCAATACTGATTAAATGAATACATTAAACAAAAGAGAGAAAATGGGAGGAGAAGAGGCCCAGAATCCTGAAGTACTACTTCTCACTCTCAGCTGAAGTGGAGGAAGGAGGTGGGTCTGGGAAAAGGAGTCCCATTTCCCTTCCAAAGTCAGGCCCACCCCTTGGAACAAGAGGTCTGTACGGCTGACTGCTTCCTAACTTCCTCATGAGGAAAGCTCACAAAAAGAGCGCCCGGCAGAGGATCGCTGACTCTCGGCCCCCCAGGGCTCACCAGGAGGTGAGACTGAGCTCAGGACAAGGACAGCTGAGAAGACCCCCGACGGCCACTCACCTGGACAGATCTCATCTGTCCCATTGCACATATTAGAGCCAGTGGGCACCGGCCAGTATAGGAGATGCTATTGGTGTCCACCTATGTTCCCCAGCCTTAACCATGCCAGTGCACCTCCTCAGACTTCCTACTGCTGCCATCTGTGCTCGAAGGCATCTTCAGGAGCCGTGGGAGGTCAGGGGTCATAGGGATTAGCACTGTCCCCCACCCCCAGCAGCCCTTAACCAGTGCCTCTTGGGTCTTGGAGTATAGATACCTCAGCTCTCTCACCCTCCCTTGGGCTAATCCGGAGGCTGGTGTCCTACAGGGTCTCTTGCATCTCCTCCACAGGATGAGCTCTGTCGTCCCCTGGGGCAGGTGGTGGAATGGCACATCCTCTATAGTGGCCCTTCCTCCCCTGGGTCACCTCCCACCTCCCAACCAGTGCTCCCAGCACCTCCTGCATAAATGACTTGCCCTGGAATCCCTGACTCTGGGTCCGCTTTGGGGGACACGGACTCAATGTGCCCAGCATTTATCTGACTAACACCAATCAGAAAGCTCCCCTCCCAAGGGGCCCTGGCTTCTTTGGTGCCTCTGCTTAACCAAGTCCCTCTTCCTTAGCTACCAGGAAAATGTGACCCGATTCCACATCTAAGGTAGGATTCAGTTCATTCACGTGGGCCCAGTTCTGTCTCCTTTCCTCACTTCACCTCCACCCCAAAAGTTCTTATCCACTATCCTAAGATGGAAAGGAAATCAGGAACTTGGGGGGGTCCCCGATTTTACAGGAACTCCAGGTCTAATACCAAGCCAACCACAAAGCACTGGTCCAACTAAGAATCCTGCCATGGACCAACTCGATCCAGCCAACTCGAGCTCACGCTGGACAGGCTGCTCAGAGCAGCCTTGGGGTCTAAGGACCTGGTCCTCCAAGGCTTGGACACAGACAAAGCACAGCCTCCTGCCCCACCCATTTTTTGGCAGAACTAACTGGCATTCAGGCTGGACTGCTAATGGCATGCTAATTTTTAATATAAATATAAAAGCTACAATCATTTTATTCTGCCCAGAGAGAAGGACAAACATGTTTGGAAGGTATAAATGAAGCCAGCGGCATTCAAGAATGAAGCTGCTTTCCGCGGTACTAAGAACAGTTGTTGGCACCAGGGAGCGACTGGCTCATCCTCTCTGATGTGTGTAAATGGTTAGAGACGAGGCTTTCCTCTTTGGCTTCTACATTTACTTTCTCTCGAATATCATTATACTGCAAACTGAGAATACGCAGCCATTGTTACCACCTCTGGAAAAGACTTCGCCAGCCCTCCTGGTGGACGCACTGCCTTCACAGCCACTGGGGACACTGTCATTCACATTTGTTGTGCTGGCCATTAAAGGATGTCCACTGGTACTTTTACTGTTGTCTTGATGACACCTTCATACCAGGAGAGGAGGAACAAGGTGTCTGACCCTGTAGGACTAAGAGCTTGACAAACAGATTCAACTTTTTTTTTATTATCCTAACCTTCAATGCAACAAACATTCATCTGTTTCCCTGGCAACCTACACTCATCATCAGTCAAAATCAAAAGAACACATTCTTCTGTTAAGTTAATCCTAGATGCAAATGGAGTGAATTAGCAGCACCTTGTATTAAGTAGAGACATGCAAGGTACCTGGATACTTTCTGCAAATACTGCACACTTATCTGGGCGAGGCCTTCAAGGCCCTCCCCTGAACTGGCCTCAGCTCATCCATCAGTTTGGCCCATGGGCTTCCTCCTCTCACACCTTGTCCTCTGCTCCCGTGGTCCCCACTGCCTGGAAAGCCACCTCCCCACTCGCTCCAGCCCTGCTTATCTTTTTCACAAATTGCAAAGTCACGTCCTTGCAGAAGAGCTTCTGGTCGGAATTAATTATTTTCCCCCTACAAATACACATGCATATGTTACAAGTACATATCCCTATTTCTAGGGATGGTCAAACAATTCATGCAGTTAGGGAGTATTCTCTCCTTAGCTAAAAAAGTAGCGTTAAGACTTCCTTTAAGGAAATTTTAGTTTCTCAACAACGTACAACTTGAAAGATGAATGTTTCTGCAAGTGTTAACTTTTGAAATTTTTGCTGCAGTTCAAATAGTATTTATAAGGCGTTTCAACAGTCCATAAAACTCAGCCAGAAAGGTTACTAAATTCTTAAATAACAGGTTGTTTAAAGATTTACTTTCAAGTGAGTCAAAATTTTGCTCATACTTATTTTTTATAACAAATACATCAATAAAAATTACCTTATCATAGTCCTTTGAGAGGTCAAATTTCTTCTGTAGAATTTTTCTTATAATATCTGGGAAGAAAAGCCACAAAACAAAATCACTTTTTCGATAAAAATATAAAATGCATATTTAGAAAATAAAGGCCTATGTATGTTCACAAATGATTGCACCTTCATATAATATTCTTATAACTTTATTCCTATTTCTTAATGTAGGTGAATAATTAAGCTAATGAGGTTCTAGCTAGAAGCAAAGAATGGAGGACAAATATTTTTGACCTACTATTTTGCCAGTGGCAGAACTGGAGGGCTGCCATTTTTAGGTTTTCAGTTTCTCACAACACACCTCAATATGAACCAGCAAACCACGTAACTCCTCATTAATACTCACTGATAAAATGTTACATTGAAATTACTAATTCTTAATAATTTGGAACCACAAGCTTAATTTATTCTTTAATAATTCCACATTTACATGATATTTTAGAAAGGAAAGGAATCTTACAATAACTTAACCCAAGAGTTCTTAACATGAGCTGTCTCTCCCTTCCCATCTCCAAGCAGTGCACTGAAAACCCTGTGATGCTAAGCAAAATTGGATTTTTCTATGCATGTTTATTTGGAGAGTTTTAAAATTCTCAGTAGGTCAGGAGCTACCTCGTATCCTGATTCACCCATCTAGTAATGCCATGGCACAGTGATGCCCAATAGGGAGAGTGACTTGTCTAAAAGCGGTAATCTGTGGATTTGAGGCCAGACCCAGGCACAGGTCTTTGTTCCCCTGCTGCGGGCCCCTCGCACACTGCACACTGTCTCCGGCCCCAGGAATGAGGTTCTGGGATGCTATGACAGTATCCTGTATGATCACTTCCAAAGTGTACTACTGTGGGAGGGGGGAGGAAAGCCCACGGTGAACCCTTTTATAAAGCAGAGACGTTCAGATTTACTGGCCAGTAAACAAAGCAAGCTTTCTTATGGGCCTTCTGGAAAACAGCTTCCCACCTGCACAGAGCAAATACGTGGAACACATCTGTAAAGGACATGCTGCAGGAATAGGGATTTTCAAGCTGGTAGGTACCCTGGGAGCCCTAGAGTTTCTCGAAGGCTCCTTGGGGGCAAACCAGGGGCAGGAAGGAGCCTGAGGCTGCCCAGCCCCACGAGTGTCCTCCCACGGTGAACCAGTCTCTTTGCTTTTGTCAGTTGCACACACGTAACAGGTGTTGTTCTATACAGCTCTCTGGAGGTGAGCCAATAAGGGAGAACATGGATCACGCACCACCGGCAACCTCTGTGAAACGGTGACATTTCTCCACGTCAAACAGATGCTCCCATCAGTTTGCTTGAGGACCCCCTGGCCCCTCCCGAGTCCTTCTGGGGTTCTCGTGGTCCTGAGTATCCGAGGCACGGTCCTAGCTACACCTAGTGACAACACTCATTGGTGGCTGATCCCTGTCTGTTGGCTGCCAGCTGCCCCTGACATCCTGCCAAGGCTGATCCTGGCCATGCTGGCCAAAAACCCACCCCAAGACTGTGGAGCAGAGATGGTCTCCCTTCCTGCAGTCCAGAACAACACTGTTTTACAGAAATATACTGCAAGTCGTATAAGTAGTTTCAAATTTCCTAGTAGCCACATTTAAAAAGGTGATTAGTTAATTTAAAATTAATTTTAACATGTTTTACTTAACTCCAAATATATGCAAAATAGTATTATTTCAATATGCAATCAATATAAATATTACCAAGCTATTTTACAGTCCTACTTTGCTACTAAGTGTTCAGGAGCCCGTGTAGATGCCCTTCAGCACATCTCAGATCAGACCAGCTACAGTTCAAGTGCTCCAATGCCACTCGCTCACCCTGGAGCAATTCCATTTCCCCAAAGCCCCAGGGCCTCTGTTTCCTTATCCCCCTCTCCTTCCCAGCGTGCCCAGTCACAGGAACACACAATGAGCAGTCCTCATGCTCAGCGCCACAACATCCATTCTTCCCTTGGCTTCCCTGTGTATCTCTGACTAAGCGGCTCTTAATTAGGGTGAGTGAACATCAGGGATGCCTGTAGAACACAACCCAAGCATCTTTCCTTGAAAAGCCCTGGCATTAACCTGCTGCTGCTTACACGTCATCTGGGAACCCACGGGACCTCACTCCGGGAGATTCTATCGCAGTTTTAATAGGTTCATCGCAGGGGAGAACTTAGAATCGATTACAGTCCATCTCAGAAAGCCTGTGGAAGGACCGGGGTCCCGTTTTGCCCCCTACTCTCAGTGGTTCACAAGTGTCACATTCATTCTGCTGCAGCCCAGTCCTTTGCATCTGTCTTGGCAGTTGATGTATCAGATTTGTGACAAACTGAAGGGCTCTTGGAAAGATTTTGCTCATAGGATCTATTTGACAAGACTTATCGGTTAGGTCTCTGATTTAAAAAATATACCCCACCTTTCATCTTCTAAATTCTGTTCCTGCCATTTTTTGGGAACAAAATCTCCCCAAAGTGCTAAACTAGATTAAAAATTTTTTTTGATAAAGAGATTTTTATATTTGATATAAATAGGCAAATCATTCTCCTATATGTAAAACAATATTACTGTAATGTAGTTCTTGATAAAATATTATGAAATGTTAATTTTGTTCATAGCTGCTAAATTTATCTGCCAAAAGTATTCTAATTTTAAGCTGTATTGTTTTAAAACGCTTTTTTTTTAAAGCTTTTTAGTCAAGATTTATATTCAGGTTATTTTAATTTCTACCTGATGGTTTCTAGTCTCTTTGACCAGATGCAATAATGTAGGATTATTAACATTAAGCCTAAAATTAAGTTATAGACTTAGAAGCATTGTGGTGTAAGCATTAAAACTGGAGAATAAAATGCACAGAATAGGTTTTTCTTTATGAACAAACCTTAGAGGATGAATCATTTTTTTCCTAAATGTCAGGTTAAATTTGCTGTTGTACTCAGAATTCTTATTAATAAAAATTACACACATACACACACACACACACACACACACACACC